CGCTCCAGGCCCCAGGGCCTTACTGGTATGGAGGGAGGAGGGGTCATGGGAGGTGACCATGGGAGGAGTAGAAGAGGAGGAGGAGTGCAGGGCTCACATGTATGTCCACCGCCCAGAGGCTGAGCGGCGGGAGCTGGAGCAGGAGGCCAAGGAGCTGAAAAAGGTGATGGACCTGAGCATTGTGCGGCTGCGCTTTTCTGCCTTCCTTCGAGCCAGCGATGGCTCCTTCTCCCTGCCCCTGAAGCCAGTTATTTCCCAGCCCATCCATGACAGCAGTGAGTATCCTGACCATCTCGGGTGACAGGCCTAGGTGCCAGAGGGGGCCTGGGGGGCAATCTCAAGCTGTGGAGTTAGGCCTGGGTTTGAACTTGACCCACCACATATGAGCTGAGTGATCTTCAGCAAGTCATTTTCCAAGTACGGCTTCCATGTTGGGTAAATGAAGATACTAGCAGTTCCTGTACTTCTTGTGGTTGTTCAAAGAATAATACAAAGCACCTGGCTCCATAAATGGGGCCATGGCTATTATGTCATCTCAAGTAATTGATATCCCCCCACCCCCGCAGAGTCTCCTGGGGCCTCGAACCTGAAGATTTCTCGAATGGACAAGACAGCTGGCTCAGTGCGGGGTGGAGATGAGGTTTATCTGCTTTGTGACAAGGTGCAGAAAGGTGAGGCTGGAGCCCAGGCTGGGAGCTAGGGACACTGGGTATCAAGATGGGGAGCCAGGGCAGCTCTAGGACAAAAGGCCCTGGAGATTCTACTAGGAGCTGTGGCCAAGCTTCAATTTTCCCTATAGATGACATCGAGGTTCGGTTCTATGAGGATGATGAGAATGGATGGCAGGCCTTTGGGGATTTCTCTCCCACAGATGTTCATAAACAGGTACCCTAGGGCCAGGGCCAGGGCTGGGGGGCTGAACTAGGCCAAGGCCTCAATAACACCTTATGCCCTCCAACCCCCTGCCAGTATGCTATTGTGTTCCGGACACCTCCCTATCACAAGATGAAGATTGAGCGTCCTGTAACCGTGTTCCTGCAACTGAAACGCAAGCGTGGCGGGGATGTGTCGGACTCCAAACAGTTCACCTATTACCCTCTGGTGGAAGGTGGAGCTGGGCTGAAAGGGGGGGGAGGGGGGGTCCCTGGGCTGGAGTGTCCCAGAACTAGATCAGGGGACCCATGAGTCAAGTCAGGAGTGGGGAAGGTCCCAGGAAGAGGTGGTCCTAGGAGACAGCCTGAGGGCTTTTGGAGGGAGGGCCATGACCAAACTCAGGACAGAGCTCTTGAGGCGTGGTGTATAAGTTGGGGTTTTAACATCTCATTTCCCTCTGGCCCCAGACAAGGAGGAGGTGCAGCGGAAACGGAGGAAAGCCTTGCCCACCTTCTCCCAGCCCTTCGGGGGTGGCTCCCACATGGGTGGAGGCTCTGGGGGCTCGGCTGGGGGTTATGGAGGAGCTGGAGGAGGAGGTGAGGGGCCGCTGGTGGCGGGAAGGGGGACGGAGGAGGGGTAAGGAGGAGAGAAGCTGGTGGGGGGAAGAAATCGGGGAGAGTCCTGGCTGGTGCCTCCTACCCACAGCCAGGCCTGTATCCGCAGGTGGCAGCCTCGGCTTTTTACACTCCTCCTTGGCCTACAGTCCCTACCCGTCGGGCTCGGCCCCGATGGGCTGTTACCCCGGAGGCGGGGGCGGCGCGCAGATGGCCGCCGGGGCTCCCGGCGTGGATGCCGGGGAGGAAGCGGCGGAGCCGGGCGCGTCCCCCCTGACCCCCCAGCGCGAACCGCAGGCCCCGGACCTGCTGCAGCGAGGTACAGCCTCTTGAATCCGGGCGGTCGGGACGCTGCGGGTGGGGACCGAACCTGCGCCCACGCCCCTGTCGCCCCCAGCCCGGGAGTACAATGCGCGCCTGTTCGGCCTGGCGCAGCGCAGCGCCCGAGCTCTGCTCGACTACGGCGTCACGGCGGACGCGCGCGCGCTGTTGGCGGGACAGCGCCACCTGCTGACGGCTCAGGACGAGAACGGAGACACGTAGGTGGGCGCGAGGGCGGGCGGGAGACCTGGGCTCCCAGGCCAGTCAGGGACTTGGAGCGCCAAGGAAGGTCGTGGGGTGCGGGGCGGGGAAGGGACTTGCAAAGAGCCAGGGCTGTGGAGGCGGACAGACCCGGTTCCGAGTCCGGCCTCACTATGTACTAGCTGTGCTCAAGGTACTTGATCTCTCCCCGTTTCAGTTCTGTTGGTTGGTGAGAGCACAATGATAGTACTTACAGTGCTCGCTTCGGCAGCACATATACTAAAATTGGATAGTACTTACATACTGCACAAGGTGCTCGGGAGGATTAAGTTCAGGTGCAGCGATGCCCTTGGAGACGTCTGGGCTCCACAAGCCCCAGTGACGGGGATCATGGAGGCGGTGGGGTTTTGAGGGTAGAGGATGCCCTGAGTGGCTGGGCTTGCTGGGCCACATTCTCACTCTCACATCTCTCAGACCACTGCACCTAGCCATCATCCATGGGCAGACCAGTGTCATCGAGCAAATAGCCCATGTCATCTACCATGCCCGGCACCTGGGTGTTGTCAACCTCACCAATCACCTGCACCAGGTGAGGGGCACCTACGGGTGAGGGGGCAGGAGTTGGAAGGCAGGTGGGCCGAGGCGAGGGGGGAACCTGGCTCATTCTGCCTGTGTCTCCAGACGCCACTGCACCTGGCAGTGATCACCGGGCAGAAGAGCGTGGTGAGCTTCCTGCTGCAGGTGGGCGCAGACCCGGCACTGCTGGATCGGCACGGAGACTCCGCGGTGCACCTGGCTCTCCGGGCGGGCGCCGGTGCCCCCGACCTGCTGCGCGCCCTGCTGCGCAGTGGGGTTCCCACCATGCCCCAGCTGTTGCACATGCCGGACTTCGAGGGTGAGTTCATCACCTCATCTGGACCAGGGGGCAAAGGTGGGAACTGGGGAGGGCACCTGGCGAGTGTTCACACCTGGTGTGAACATGAGGTGTTGAGGTCAGCTGGTCAGGGGGCCACGTTGGCTTCGCAGCTGTAGGCTGAGTGCCTGTGTCCCTAGGGCTGTACCCAATACACCTGGCGGTCCGTGCCCGAAGCCCCGAGTGCCTGGATCTGTTGGTGGACAGTGGGGCTGAAGTGGAGGCTGCAGAGCGGCAAGGGGGCCGAACAGCCCTGCATCTAGCCACGGAGATGGAGGAGCTGGGGTTGGTCACACACCTCGTCACCAAGGTGGGACTGAGGATTGCTGGGGGGGTGGGGCCAAGGGTTGTGGAACCAAGGACGGTGAAGATGCAGGGGGCAGGGGCGACCAGTCACTGGGTGCTGTGATCAACCGCTCCCTTGCACCCCACAGCTCCGTGCCAACGTGAATGCCCGCACCTTTGCGGGAAACACACCCCTACACCTGGCAGCTGGACTGGGATCCCCCACCCTGACCCGCCTCCTTCTAAAGGCTGGTGAGCCTCATCCTTGGGGCATATGAACAGGGCTGGGGGGGGAGAGAAAGGGGTGCCTCCCAGTACCCCCCCCCACCATGTGGGTTCCCATTGTAACTCCTCATACCTCCCTCCCTCCCCAGGTGCCGATATCCACGCAGAGAATGAGGAGCCCCTTTGCCCACTGCCTTCGCCCCCCACCTCTGGTAGCGACTCAGATTCTGAGGGACCTGAGAGGGACACCCGAGGCAGCTTCCGGGGCCACACACCTCTTGACCTCACTCGCAGCACCAAGGTGAGGCGAGCCTGGAGCAAGAAGCACCAGGGAATGGGGGTACCTGGGCTTATGGCTGGGGCCCAGAGGAGCTGGCACCTGGGCTTAAGGACTGGGGTGGGAGGTCATCAAATGGAGGCTGTCTCCCCAGGTGAAGACCTTGCTGCTAAATGCTGCTCAGGACACCACAGCACCCCCCCTGACCCCGCCCAGCCCTGCAGGTGAGAGCTCTTCACCCACTGCCAGGCTGCAGACCCCTGCTCACAGAGCTCTCTTCTTTAGAACCTCTGAAGGAGGGCTCCCTTGCTCCATCCCTGTTGCCACCCTCTGCCCCATCCGTCAGATTCCCGTGAGAGCAAGGTGGCTGCCTGGGTCCATCTCTGGGCGTAACAGACACATCTGCATGTGTGTCCCTGTCAGGGCCAGAGCCGCCACTTGAGGATACAACCCTACAGAACCTGGAGCATCTGCTAGATGGGCCAGGAGCCCAGGGCAGCTGGGCAGAACTGGCAGAACGGCTGGGGCTGCGCAGTCTGGTGGACACATACCGGAAGACCGCCTCGCCCAGCGGCAGCCTCCTGCGCAGTTACAAGGTCAGTGGATCCCCATCCCCTGCTCCATGCCTGGCTTCTGTCCCCTGTCTCCCATCTCCGGTGCTCCCTTGGCCCCAGGGCTCCTGGTCCCCACACTCCAGTCTCCTGCCTTTTCCTTCTCCCCAGCTGGCTGGTGGGGACTTGGCAGGCCTGCTGGACGCCCTGTCTGACATGGGCCTGGAGGAAGGAGTGAGGCTGCTGAGGGGCCCCGAAGCCCGAGACAAGCTGCCCAGCACAGGTAAAGGGGTCCTACCTGGAACGCAGATCCGGGCCTGGAGGGTGGGAGGCCTATAGGACCCTGACTGTTTGCTACCGCCTTTCTACTCGCCCCACAGAGGTGAAGGAGGACAGTGCGTACGGGAGCCAGTCGGTGGGACAGGAGGCAGAGAAGCTGGGCTCGGCCCCCGAGCCGCCAGGAGGGCTCTGCCACGGGCACCCCCAGCCTCAGGTGCACTGAACTGCTGCCCACCCACCAGCCCCTCCCTGGGCCCCTCTGTACAGCACCCCTGTCTATTCCAGTTCTTATTTAACACCCCATGCCCACCCCTCAGTTGGGGCAAATAAAGGATTCTCCTGGGAAGGGGGGACACAGCCCCCTCCCTAACTTATGGCAGTCCCTGATGTGACTCTTGTCCCCGGAACCAGCTGCCTACCCTGGCCCCAAGCCAGGTACCGGAGAGAGAAGGAGACCCAGCCAGCAAGTCCAGAGCAGTTTTAATGGGAGTGGAGGCTGTACAAAGGGCAGGGCCCACTGACGGAGGGAGAGTGAGGCCATGCTGTCCCCAGACTGTGTAGGGGGGCCTAGGCATGGATACCCTTCCTCCACCTCTGGAAAGAGAGAGGGTGAGCCTCAGGGAGGAAGGAGGGAAAACCAGCTCAGCCCCGACTCCTGGCCTCTATCTGAGCCAGGCCCCAGGATGGAGGGGGATTGCTGGTGTCGGGGTGGGGGTGGTCTCAGCAGAAAGCAGAAACGTCAGGCCTCCCCCACAAAACAAAAAGCATCAAAAGTCCAAGGGGCCCTGGCCCCTCCCACTCCAGCCCTCCCCACCCCATACGAAAAAGTGCAAAACATTATCACAAAATGGGGGTCTCAGAGGGGCCCCTAACCTAGGCTCCCGAGGCCCACGCCCTAGCCCTGCCCTGCCCCGGACACCGCGTCCGGCGCGGTCGGGCCCTGGGCCGAGGGGCCCTCACGGGTGGCCCGAGGCCGGCCCGGGCTCAGGCAGGGCTATGTCATGCAGGTGCCCAGTGGGCGCCAACCCCCCCATGTGCCTACCCTCAACTCAGAGCTTCCACCGCCCACTGCTTGCCCCTGTGCGAGGCTCTGAGCCATGACCCTGAGCCCGGGGCTGGCTGGCTGGGTTGGCCTGCAGGGAGGGACTGGAGGGAGGGCCGAGGAGTCCATCCGCTGTGCTCCCGGCCTGGGCCAGCGCTGCCTCTACTGCATCCAGCTCCTCACTGCCTGCCTTCAGCTTGACGCGGAGCAGCGCTGCGTACGTGCTGTAGCGGGATTTCTGAGGCAGAGGGCGGGGCTGTGAGCCTGCTCTCCACCCTCTGCCCATCTCACCCCCGTCTGGAGACCAAAGCAGGTTCTTGCCCACCCAAAGCCCCCATGGTGACATGATCCCCGGTAGGTGGCGACCCTCTGTGGGCGCTCTTGAGGCTGCAAATTCTAATAGCTAATACTTCCCGAGCCGGGACTAGAGTTGGGAAAAGTGAGCACCTGACAGACCTCATCTCACTTCGTTACCCTGCTGGGTACAGCATGTCATCCCCGGCCCACAGAAGAGGAAACAGGCTCAGAGGGGTTAAGCAACCTGCCCACGGTCCCCCAGCTGGTCCTATTCTCCTGGAGCCCATGCCTTAACCTCTAGCCTGAGTCTGTACATGGGAACAGAGAGGTCCCACCGATGGAGAAAGGAGCCACAGAGGCGCCGGTGCAGGGAGGTTCACCTCAAACTCCAGATAGGCCTCCTTCTGCCGCTGCTCCTCAGCCTCCTTGCCCCGGGCCTTCCTGCCCAGTTGCGCAGCCCGGTGCTCCCGCAACTCGCTTGCCATGGCCTTCAGCTTGGCCTCATGGGTCCGCACCTGCTCCTCCTAGAGGCCAGGGGGAGTGCAGTCAGGGTCACTCTAGTACATACAGTGCCTTTGTGCATGTTTTTAAAAAAGCTGCCCCATCCTGTGGATGAGCAAAGCACCGTGTCTAGGTTAATGCCTTGGCAAGTGGCGTGGAGACCGTATTCCAGCCTTCCCTCACCCCCCATGGCCGGTGTCCTGGTGTGGTGGACATCTACGTAATCACCCACGGTAGCCCTGAGTGCAGTTGGGCTGGGCCTGCCCCACTCCATCCCACTGGCACCAGGTGGACGGAATTGGGAGTACCTGGGAGAGGCGGGTGGCAGCACTGGGCAACAGAGGGCGGCTGAACTTCCTCTGGGAGCTAACAGCAGCTGGGAAGGGGGGTGCAGAGAACATGGCAGCCACCACATTGATGCGAGTGATCCAGGACTGCATCTGCTCCAGGCTCCTGGGGAGACAACACAGCCACTTAGGACCTGGGCCCAGGATTCCTGTCCGGGCTGCCTCTCCTGGCTCAGGGTGTGGCCTGGGAAGAAATGAGGCAATCCAGGGACAAGAGAAGGGAGCAAGGTGGGACTGGGGCAAAGGGGTCCAGGATGGGCAGGAGGAGGGCACTCACGGGGCCTGAAAGAGGAAGACCCGCCAGTCTGCTGTGCGCAAGTAGAAGACATGGGGCCTCTTGCTGTAGTCGCTGGCGCGCGTGGCCAGTGCATGGTGGATGCTGATGGCATTCTTTAGCTCTGCCTCTGATAGGGCCTTCCCGGGCTGGTACTCCTCCTGCAGGGGTGCCCATCTTGTCCTGGCCATGGTCCCAGCCCGGCCTGGCCCAGCCCACCCCCACTCCCCTGAGCCAGCTCAGCCCCAACCCCTTGGGCTGGCCCCGCACCTTCTGCAGATAGAGGATCATGCCCTTGAGGATCCCGTGGAAGCTCTTCCAGCCCCGCTTGCCCCGAGGTGCTGGGGGGAAGGAAGACAGGTCAGGGGGCCTGAGACCGGCCCTCTCCCCTCCATCCCCCAGACCCTCCCCATCCAGCCACGTACTCTTCCTGCAGTCAGGGTCTGCGTGCACCTTTCGCACCAGGGCCCCATGCTTGTAGACTGCAGCCCCAGGCTCAGGAGTCAGGTCCAGGAAAGGGCTGGAGCCGCTGCCACTGCCCCCGCTGACCCTCTTGATGACCTTGGGGTTGGGGTCGGCCAACTCAGACAGAGAGCGTCTCAGCTCCTCCTCGTCTCTGCAGGTGTGATCACCTCAAAGGGGGCTGGCCTTGCAGCCACAAGCCCCCCTCCGTCCTAGCCTCTGCCCCCCCCCCCCAGGAAAGTGCCCCCTTGTCTGTGGAGGGAGTGGGGGAACAGCTCCTCTCACAGGGTGTGGCTCCCCTCAATCCGAGGCTCCCCGCCTCAGATCAGCTCTCCCCAGGGGTAGCTGTGCCCCCCGCTCAGATGAGGATTCCTCCAGGTAGTGTATCTTCTCACTTTGGTTAGAGCTCCCAAGGGTAGGACTATGACTGTTCCTTCATTCCCATCCTTTTCTGTTTCTGCACATAGACACACCAACCCTCACCCCCTTCTCCACTAGGGCAAATGCACATCTGACTCAACAGTCTCAACCACACCCGGCAGCATGCTTTGCTCATAGTTTGTTGTGTAAATGGTGGCAGAAGTGGCTTCCTAGTGGTCGCCTAGTACCTCTTGGTCAGCAGGCCCTGCTAGATATCGAAAGAATCAGGTTCTACCCTGTCACTCTTTTGATCAAAAACCTGCAGTAGCTCCCTATTACCTCCTACAAAGAGCCCATGCTACCTCTCTGCCAACGCTGCCTTTTCCTCTTTTCACTCTCCAGCCAGCCAGGCCCGCCTCCTCTTGGTCTCCCCACCCCACACTCATTTCAGCCACCACATATTTGCCTCCCAAATATCAACTTCCCTCTCCCCAAATGCTTCCCCTACTTCAAGGCCTGCCCCAAGTCCCAATCTGCACCCCAGTCCTGAGCTCTGCCTCCTCAGGTCTTCTCTCCTGCAGCCTGGGAGCTCCCAACCCAACCGATCCGTGACTGGACTCTCAGCAGACACCAGCAAATATGAGTGATCTATTGCCTGTTTCGATGAGGCTCTCCCTGTCAGACTGGGGGCCCCAAGGCTAAAACTGGACCTCCTCCCTTAGTCTGGACTCCTCTAAGACTTACTCTGAGTCTCCTTCCACTGAAGCTGCCAAGAGTAGACAATGTGGTCCCTTGTTCTACGACACTCTGGATTCCCTAAGACCTGAGAGGGGGCTCTACCTCCAGAGACTTCTGCTTTCCCATTTGGTTTGCCAAGGGACCTTCCCTTTTCGTTTCAGCACTCCTCCTCCCAGGCCCGCTGACAGTGGCCACCCACCCCAGCCTAGCTTGTCATAACAACCCGGCTGAAGAAAAGACACAGATCCCCAAGATCAGGCAGCCATCTCCAAAGAAGGAAGTGAGGCAGCCTCAGTGCCTCTCATGGCCTCACCCGCCTCCCGTGCCCCAAACCCAACCTGGACTCACAGGGCCTGCCTCAGCACTCTCAGCCTCTCCAGGCAGCCCCTTCCCCACACCCCAGCTCCCTCACCACACAGCCCCAGGACTCACATGGCCCACTGCAGCTTTTCATTCTTGATGGAGCTGTACAAGGCCTGGGAAGGGAGGAACAAATCAGGCAGGTATGGGTCACTCGTGGGGGAAGCAAACCATGTATCCCAATGCCAGAGCTCAGAGCCCTCCCTCCTAAGTCAGGGGAGGAGACAGCGGGGAGCGGGGGGCCCGCTGGGTGTGATGACCAAGAACACAGGCTCCGAAACAGAGTGCTAGGACACAGTCCTGTTTCACTTTTGCTGCAGGACTTTGGGCAAGTATCTGTGGGGAGAACAAATGTAGTAACAGGCATGTAATGTAGAGCAGGCAGTCGGCACAGGGCACCCAGGCATACAGTCGATGCACCGTAAATGGCAACTGCTCTTATCATCTTTGCTGTTGTTATCGTGAGGGGTATCCCGCCCAGATCCTGGGTGGGAGAAGCACAGCACTGGAAGGAATAGAAAAGAGCATGCCAAGAAGCTCTCCTTTCCCCAATCATGTGCCTTGGCCTGTTTCCATAGGATAAACCCACACAGAACATATGGGGAAACTGAGGCCCAGCAACAGGGATTCACCCCCGTCACCTCCCTCTCTGGCTAGCAGAGAGCACATTCTCATGACTCCTAACCTCTGGGCAAGCTGAGCACTTCCCCCAGCCCAGACAGCCCCAGCAAGTCTAACGCCAGGGTGGGTGAGCCCCCTGCCCACTGACATCCTTCATGTTACCGGGCAGTGAACACTAGTCTCAAAGGCAGAAGTTTTAGTTTCCAAATCCTGCACACCCCAAGCTCCCTGTGAACTCCTGAACCAGTCACTTCCCCTCTGTACAGTTGTCATGGGGGACCTGTGGGGGCCTTGGGATGGCAGGGGAGAGAATGGGCTCCAGGAGTTGCAGAGGGGACCCCTCTTCTTGGGAGTGGCCTGCAGCATGGGTCCACAGCAGCACCTCCCACTGTGGGGGCGACTCCACCAGCCTGTCTCTGAGTGGGTGTGTCTCCAGCATGTGCGTGTTGGGCTAAGCGCGTGGCGTGTGATGCTGCCTGCGTGATCTGGGTGCAGTGGTGACGTCGGTGCCTTCTCCGTGATGGGACACAGCCCCCCACCCCACCACCAACATACCACAGTCACTGACTCTCACTGCCCACTGTCACACTCAGCCACAAGGCTAGCCCAGCATCCCACATGTGCACATCCTGTCCAGGGGTGGGTACACCCCACAACCTCCACACCCTACACAGCACAACCCAGCTTTATGCACACACAACCCTCCCAGCACACCCCCAGCCCAAGCCCGGCAGAGCCCGGACCCTAAACCCTCACTCTCCAACTCTGGGCCAGGAGGTTGAAGTGGCCACCCAGATCCAGCCTGTCTCCAGCCTTCCAGTTCATCCCCTGCCCCCTCGGACGACCCCGTTTGGCCCACAAACACGTCTTCCTTCCGAAGTCCTAAACCCTATGGGTGAGCCCCATGTCATGCTCCCAGCTAGAAGACCCAAAGACCCTTTGGTTTGAGATGCCCACCTTAATCCGACCGTCTGTGCCCTTCCCCCTCCAGTCCATGCCCACTTCTGGCTACCCACGGGCTCTGTCCCTGCCGGGCTCGGCCCCCCCGCCTCAGTCCGACCGATGCCCCTTCGGCTCGTGCCACCTTCGGTGCCTCCCTCACACCGCCCCCTCAGCCACACCGCCCTCCACAACGCCCGCGGCCGCCCCCCCGCCCCGGCTGGCGTGGGCCGCGGCCCCAACGCCCTCACCGCCTTCTTCTTCTTGCGGCTCTGCAGGCGGCTGACCACCAGGTCGGTGTAGAGCACGGGCTTGAGACTGCGCGAGCGCTGCGGCCAGCCGTAGCACAGGGTCTCCGCGCCGCGGTGGGTGCGCCCGTAGCGCACGGAGCACAGCGAGCGCGAGCGCAGCCGCCCAGCGCTGCTGTGGATGCTGTTGACGCCGATCATGCTGGCCCGGCCGGCGCGCCGCGG